CTCTTTCAGGTGGCAGAGACTCCAACTCCTCCGGAAATACGTCCGGGTATTCACGGATTACTGACATGTCCTCCAACTTAATCTTTTCTCCCGGAGTGTTAATCAGAAAAGCTAAGTAACCACGTGCCCCACGACTAAGCAATTTCCTAGCCCTTATTCCCGAAATAAGCGCAGAAGAGGCTATCATACCCCTTACGTCTAACTTTAGAGTTGCCTCCCCCGGTATACAAAATTTGACCACTTTCATCCTACAAGCTACCCGAGCATTATAGTGAGCTAGCCAATCCATACCTAGAATGACATCATATCCCTTGATGGCTAGACTAATGAGGTCAACTACCAATTTTCGTTCACCAACCCAAATATCACAATTCCTATACACCTCATTCGCAAGCAAAATTTGATTACCCGTAGGTGTTCTTACCTCTAAGTCATAAGATAACCTTTCAACTTTCAAATCAATTCCAAGCATAAATGCAGGATTAACGAAAGAGTGAGTAGTACCGGGGTCTATCAAAATTTTGGCTAACCGGTGAAAAACAGGGATCGTACCTTCTACCACCTCCGTTGGTTCAGGCACGAATTGTTGGTCCAGGGAATATACTCTGGCCGGAACCCTCGACCTAGCCCCTCCATCATTGGTCGGCTTTGGGTTTGACCTGGCAGTCGACTGGGTATCACTGATCAACGGGCAGTTGACTATCTGGTGCTCCGTACTTCCACACCTTAGGCACTTCTGAGCCTTTCTCCAACATTCATCCTCAGTATGGTTCGGTTTTCCACAATATCCGCATGTTACTCGGGGAGTAGAGGTCTGACCTCCCTGCGGAATTCCTCTACCTTGTCCTTTACCACTTTGGCCTCCCCTCTGGGCACCTCCCCTCTGAGTACCTCCTCTCGGAGCACCTCCCCTAGACGCACTCGAAAACCGTCCACCTCCAGCCCCACGACTGGACTTGGCAGGTGGTGCGTTTTGATCACTCCGCACAGACCCTTGGGCTCCACTAGATCCCCCTTTTCGTTTGGCATGGAAATTCCTCACGTGTGCCCTAACAGTTTCTATCCTTTGGGCCTTGTCCAGGACCTCCGTAAACGTATTAATCTGGGCTGCCGCTAAGGCTTCTTGTAATTCCACATTTAGCCCTTGCACAAACCTCCATACTTTCCTTGGTTCCGTAGCAATCAGCTCAGGGGCAAATTTTGACAATTTCGTAAACTGGGTCTCATACTCAGTTACACTCAACATTCCCTGGCGGAGTTTAATGAAATCGTCCTCTCGCTTCTCCTGGACGATGGGTGGAAGGTATTTTTCGTTAAACTCCCGTACGAAGTTTAACTAGGTCCATGCAGTCGCCTCTCTCTCCCACTTGGCCCTCACTACGTTCCACCAAGCCCTAGCTGGCCCTTCGAACTGGAAAACAACGAATTGAACTTGCCGCTCATCTGTATAGTTTAGGGCAGCAAAAATATTTATCATGGCCTCTAGCCATTTCTCGGCCCCATCCAGGTCTGGCCCTCCTAAAAATTTGGGTGGAGAGAACTTCTGGAATCTCTCTAAAGCTCTATCTTGTCCCATATCGGGATCCCTAGGTTGATTTACAGGGGCTTGACCCTGTTGTTCCACTAAACGGGCCAAAATATTAGTCATTTGCTGGATAGCAGTTGCCACTTGATCTCCCCCTGCAGCTTGGGGTTCAGGTTGTGGCTCAACCGTTGCCTCTCTCTCCTCTCTCGGTTCTTGCACAGGTTCTTGTGCGCGTCTACCCCCACGGTCTCGACTAGGACCGCGTCCTCGGTTAGTTCCCCTGGTTTGACTTATTCTACCCTCCATGTTTTGGATTTAGCCAACTATAGACATATAAACAAGGTAAGGGATAGCTCGTATAGCTCGTATAACACGTTGCAAAAGGCTAAATAAAGGCATTAAAACACATAATAAACAAGTACTTTATACACATAGCAAACAAGTCATATATACAGGCCAACAAGTCACATAGTCAGAGGCTATCACAGCCAAGGAACATAGAACAAAAGGTATTTACATCCACCATCACTACAAAAAATTATTTCTTTCGTGACAAATTTTTCATGACAAGAAACCTTTTCGTTAGGAAAACCATGCTTTTTATGACAACCCGTCAAGCAAATATCCTTCAAAAGGTGCTGCTACTTTAAACGAGTTTTTCTATTTATTTCATTGTCTAAAATTACTTTCCCCACATCAATTTGTCAGGAAAAGTTTTCATTCTCCCTCCATTTTTTTCCCACCAATTTTTTTCCCCTCTTGGACCGAAAAGGAATTTAGAAGGACATCTTGTCCTTATGACATAGACACCGGGAAATTCAAGAAGCACTTTTCCCAAATCTCTACTTTTGGAACAACAACAACAACAAAGTACACTTTCTCCAAATCTTCAGCTTGTCTTCATCTCCAACAACAGAGAACACCAACGAACTCCTCCGAACTTGTCTTCATCTCTTTCAACAAGAGAGACAACACGATGGTCTAAGGTGATGTAAAAATCAAATAATCCTTCAATTTTGTCTTGAATCAGCTCCCTTTCTCCGAATCCCCCTTCAATTTTGTCCTTAATTGACTGTGAAATGACGGTCCTACAGATCATCAGTTCAAGTTCGGTGTCAAATATTTTCTCTGCATAAAAATTGACTCATTTGTGATCTAAGTTTTCAGAAATTGTTTTGGAGAACCTCATTTGGCCCCTTAAAGTTTCAAATTTGATTATTTTCATTATTTTGGTTGAGAATGAGGAATTTAGTGCAAATTTGATAGGCTCCCATCTCCCTGATGTTCACAAAGGAACGGTTCTTGGAAAACTTGTTCTTGCGTGTGAAGAGTTGAGAATTCTGCACATGTACATATAAAATTGATTTGCCAGTTCGTTTTTGGCAGAATGGTGCAGCAGTCTGGTGCATCAGCTTTCGGAAAATTCAGGGTCAAGGATTGACTATTCTTGGAGGTGAGTCCTTGACAGGTTCAGTTCCCATTGGGCAGATATGACTTGTAAATTGCAAAATGAAATATTACTATATGAGCAAAATGGGTCCTATATTTTGGATTAACTCCAGAGTAGATCCAAACTTATGGTGCAATGTTCACATCTAGGTGTGCTAGACGCTTGTCTTGTGTCGAACATTTTTCCTGATTTATCCTTGTTATTTGTCTTTCAGTTTTTTGTCATACATGTGATGGGCAACCGGCTTTCAACAATTTTATCTACTACAATTTTCTTTGATTTTTCAATGTCTGAAACCTTGTTAAGGATTCATCTCTGATTGATCATTTAGTATGAGCCTTCAATGTGATGGCAGAGATACATGTTCAGTGTTTCTGGTTTGTCCTCTTGTTTTGTCATGAAAGTGTCTGAATGAAACTGGAATTTGTTTCCTATTTTTCTTCATTATTTGTTTCCTTTCATGCAGACCTTGTTCTGAAAGACAAGATTGTTGTTTATGATTTGGCTGGCCAAAGGATTGGATGGGCTAACTATGACTGTAAGTTCCCATATCAAGAGCATTTTCCAGCCGTTGGCTTGATTTTTACAGTGCCTTCTATTCATCATTTATCTGATTGGATTAAAAGGGGAAACTTGGATTAAAAGTGAAATTGTTTTCTCTGATACAGATACACTTGAAATTCAGTTTTTAGTTCAAGATTCGCAGAATTTGGGGTTATGTATGACATCTGTTTATACATGTACAAACACGAAAATGGGCCAAATGGGAGAGGAAAAAGTGGTGTTGCCGGAAGGGAAGAGTAGGTGCGGTGCGGTATCAAGTGGGGAAGGTAGTGGAATTTTGAGAGGTTTGGGTTTTAATATGGGAATAGTCACATTGACAGATTGGCACAGGTCTAATTTAATATAGGACGTGGGAGCAATTCACGCAATAATGCGACACAGTCAAGTGTATTTTAGATATTTTGGCTAAGGGCCCCTACTTATAAATTTGGAGCTGATCTCATGGATAAATATTTATGGTGAAGTTGGCTAGTTTGATATTATGTCATGGGGAGCATTAAAAATTTGTACCAGACGAAAAATGCATCAGCAACTAGCCTATATTGTTAGGGGCTTTTATCTATTGGTTTGGGTATTTGGAGTCTATGGTGAAAATGGACCATCTGGTTTTAGAGGTTTGGTTGGAATGGGAGCTTTTGGTTCTTTTTGTTAAGAGGATGGCTATACATCCATCGTGTCCAACTAAATCCATGCAAGAAATGTAGGAAGTAACATAAAAAAAAAACAGTTTCACAATCATTAGCTCTTTCTGGTTTTCTGAAGTACTATAATATCCTTGCAAGTTTTATACCATAGGTTTTTTATGCCAGTTTTCAGTTAGCATTAGTAGGCAGGAAAAAGAAGGGAAACGTAAAGAAGTGCAGCACTTGTAAATTCTTTATCTAGTGTGAATCTTCTGATAGTGATGAAACCATTGACATGGATATAGATTTAGATAGTGCTTAAGAAATAGCATAGAAGTGCCAAGTGAAAAGGTTTTTGGCATTGGAGAAGAAAGTGTTACTTTTTGTGGTTTTACCCAATATTGATCAAATTGATATCTTTTTCATGGTTTTAACTCTTTGTTAAGTTTTTGGTATAACTTAAATTTTGATCTCTGTTTATAATTTGACATCAAAATTTTACTAATTTGACTCCTTTTTTATCATATACTTTGTTATTGCAGATGGCACCTTCCGGGAAACGGTTGAAGAGAAACTGCCCACCCAATACCAACTTGCAATCTGAACAACCACCAACTTCAAACTCAACTTTGGAGCATCAATCAGCTACCACAGGTGATGATATCCAGATTAATTCAAATAATAGTAATCCTACTCAAGCATTGGCGAATGGTAAGTGAAAATGCTGAATAATGATTTACTTATTACCATTCAATGTATGCATCCTTTTTGTGATAATTCATAATAAGCATCAACTAGAATGTTTAACATTTGTTCTCAGAACAAAGAAAGCAAAAAAAAGGCAGGGGCCCAACCACGGGAAAAGTTATCGAGAAGATGATACGAGCTAATGTAAATGCCATTCAGTACTAAGATGTGTACATATATAATATTACTGTCTATTCAAGATTTTTTTTTTATAATCAGTTTCCTAGAATTTCAATTGGGGTATACCTGAATGATGCTTCATTTGTTAATATTAGGGAGGCAAGCCATTGGAAATTGTCTTTCCTGAAGGATGTTGCAAACCAATCAAGTATGCTGCTCAACTTGCTAGTGGTATAGGTTATGTTGTAAGGCACCTCTCTTCACTGAAGGACATACGCACATATGATGACATACCAAATGAGAAAAAACAGAACCTATATGGTGGCTTGATGGTACCAGATTACACCGTTGTCTTTTATAATGACATTTAGTGTGTTAATATTTATTTTGCTGACTTGACCAATTCTAAAAATGATCTATTTCTTAATGGTAATTTATAGGGATGGTTTGACTTCAAAGATTGGGAAACTGATCCTAATGTGGAAAAGTATGTGGATGACATGCTTCAGAATAGCTATAGGCAGTGGAGGAATACTATGCACATAGATTATAAGATGTTGAAGGCAACTGGAAAAGATCCACTTACCTCATGTCCTTATGACTGGATTGAGCAAGATGAGTGGAAAAGTATGTGTGATTGGTTCAAAGATCCTATATTCAAGGTGATTGGTTCTAGTTTTGTTTACTTGCATGATCTTAATTCTTTTGTTGCCTTTTATGTTTTGTCTAACTATCTTTTTGGTATTTAATAGAAAAAATCAGAAGCCAATACAAAGAACCGTGCCATGTTACCCTATCCGCACACTGGCGGTTCAAAATCAAATCATGTTCGAGCACAAGAGATGGTATATTACTGATTTTTTATTTCCATTTTGGCTTATATTTATACTAGGAAGAAAACTAGAGCTAACTCGTGATCTTTTATGCTATAAAATAGGTTCCACCAAGTGCAATTGATGCCTGGACTGCTGCTCACATAAAAAAGGATGGCCAATTTGTGAATAATGCTGCAAAATCTCTCGATGTAATTTTCACTATAGTCGGCTGATTCTAGTAACTTTGTTTTTTATTAGTAACAGGACATTTACATATATATTATACATTTAATGACTCTTTGAGTTATGTGAATCTAATATGTACAGGATGAGTTAAAAGAAGAGAGAAGGCAATGCATCGAGAATGGAGAAATTGTCAATGAAGTTAAAATTATGGAAAATGTCCTAGGAAAGAGGGCTGGTCGTGCCAAAGGGTTGGGTATGGGGGTCATACCACCCCAATCTTCTCGCAAACCCGAATCTTCAGCTAATAGAGCACTATTTGAAGAACTAAAACAGTGCAAGGAGAAGATTCAATGCTATGAGGAGCGAATTCAAGCACAAGATACCCAAATCCAAAATCTTGTACAAAGCCAGCAAGGGATACAGGAAATGCTGCAAGAATTCCTCGTTTGGAAACAGAAGCAGTGTGGAGGTTCTTCCTAGTAATGGTGAGTTTGTAGATCTTTATTCGAAACAAATATATTTATGTGCAGTTACTTACTATTGTGGAACAACTTGGTTACTTCAGCATAGTAATTATTCTTGTATTGCTTGTCCTCATGATTAGGTGGTCCTTAAGCAATTTGTAGTGATCATCCATGCATCATAACAAAAATACATCTTTTCCATGCCATTCTATTGTTTCTCTGATTTCAGATTTTTCTTGGTTTTATTGTACAGGTTTGGGATGAACGTTTGGGACTGCTTTTGGCTTTTGGCTTTTGAGATTGGGATAAACTCAACATTATGGACTGCTTTTGGCTTTTGGACTGCTTTTAGCTCATACTGAAGAATTCCTCTATTTTGATATCATCCATCTCTAGTATGTTGTTGACCATGGAATTGAAGTCCATCTTTTGATTTTAGCACATGTTAGGTATATGGCAGTTATCTAGGGAGAAATAGCAATATTTATATTGGTTTCAAATCATGAAATGTAATGATATGTCAATGTTTGACATGGTTAACTTTTGTGGTTTGACATATTATGGTTGCCTACTAATGAAATTTGTGAAGTTTTGGTTGATATTTTGCTTGCATACTTTTATATTTTGATTGGGTGGAGTGTTTTAGTAGATGATATTATTACTTTGTTGTCACTAAAATTGCTAGGCTTAAAAATGCTAAATGGTGAAATTAGAAACTAATATATTATAGTGATGCAGCTGTCGTCAGGAAAAATAACATTGAATTGTCATTAAAGTACGTCCAGCAAGTTTCAATGCATGACTTTTCTTGACAATCGAAAAATTAGTGACAAAGTTCAGGGTCTTTCCTGACAAAGGTTCGTCAAGAATATGAGGTCTTTTCCTGACGACCGAATCGTCACGATTACCTTTCTTGATGACACGTCACAGAAAATGGAACTTTTCCTGACGAGAATTCCACTAGTTGTCAGGAAAACCTTTTGCCGACGGCGTATAGGTGACCAATCTTCTCTGACGACATTAGCGTCACGAAAACTTTTCCCGACGATATACGCAACTTTTCTTGACAAAGATTGTTGTCACTAGAAATATTTTTTTTTGTAGTGCATGACACGTCAAAATCAAAAACAAAAGGAGACGTGTCGTCCCACTATGTTCCTAACTATCCCACAAAATCTCCTCCAACCCAAACTAACAAGTGGTCTGGCTAGACGCCGACCCAACCGACTCCGAGGATGCACTCAGCTCCTCCTCTGGGTCCTCCTCAGGATCCTCATCCGGATCCTCCTCAAGAGTACCAGGAGCGCCAGGAGCTACAGGCGCTTGGCCTTCTCCGACCAAGTCCTGAAGCACATCATCCACTAATGCCTCGCACTCGGTCAGGATGTGGCCAGTCCGGTCTCGTATATCTCCAACTACTCGCATCAGACGTCCAGTAGTCGCCTGAGCCTGCTCGCGGAAAGCATCGGTCCGCTGCTGCTCCTCCAGAACCGAGGCCTCCAACTCTCGGATCCGGGCTCCCTGGTCTCGGAGTGTAACTCGAAGACGCTCTATCTCCGCATAGCACCTACGATTGGTGCTACCCAATCGTCTCCGCTCGTCATCCACAGCGAGCACTACTCGGTCAGGGTAGGAGTAGGTCTTCTAGCAGTCGCAGCGTCGGATCTTGCGCGCTGGGGACTACCGCTGCACTGGCCTACCGGGAATCTCCTGGTATGTGATCACGCGAGAGACGGGCCCCTCCAGATAGGGTTCGTCAGCAGGAGCGTCAGAAGGTACATCAGCAGGTACGGGCTGAGACGGCCCCGCACCCCCAGAAGCGTCAGCGTCTGCCATCACCTAAATTTGCAAATAACATTGCAAAAGTAAGTACGCAACACGTAGAAAACAAGGCTAAAGGCTAAGCTCAAGGATAAAACCCTAACCTATCGTATCAAGCACTCAATCTATCCAGATCAATTCACAACCTAGGCTCTGATACCACCTGTGACGACCCCACCTCCCCCTAAGGCGTACCAGAGGGTTCGGCGGACCGCCTGTCCAGCTCTCGCCAGGACTCACTCACTCGAATCACGTGCACACATCCATGAACCATAAATAACATCCACAATTCAAACTTATAATTTACATTGATAGAAATCAGGGTACAAAGTCTCAATATACCCAAACTAGTTCAAAGTATATACACTCCCCTAACAAAACATTCTATTCGAGGAATAACGCGAGTACAAGTCAAAAGTCAAAATAACTAGACTACGCTAGTCTTTACACGTCTCACGCGCCCCTCGTACCCCTGTAAGGAAAACAAAACTAATAGGGTGAGCTAAAGCTCAGTGATGTTCCAAATATCAAATTGTCCAGCAAACAAGATAATAACCATGTAATAGTGAAATAGCGAGCAAACAAGTTCAAGTAAAGAGATAAAACTTCAAGTAGTCAAGAATTGTGTGGATCATGTTCACAAGTAAGGATACAGTTTCTCATGTCTCGGCTCCATCCCAGCTTGATCGAATAGTAGTTGACGCTCCGTCAACTTTCAAGTAATAACTAGTCCAGAAAGCAAACTCCACTTCTCGCCAGTCTCCGTCCACCAATCAACCCCCTTTTCCGGGCCCGCATGCCACACGAAACACGGGAGGTAATACTCGAGTATACCGGATTGTCGAGGAGATAACACTCCACTCGACCTTACTAGTGACCCAGGGTTTGTTATCTAATCGATCAGGCCCTTGCCGGCTCGACTCGATTAACTAGCCACAGGGTTTCTGGAATTCCAGGCATAATATAATTCATGTGCATGTAGAGCAAGTCAAGTAAAGTCGATAAACAAGAACGAATTTGGATAGGGCAAGTGCGATAAAGTACACCCTTACTCTATCAAATCACATATATATCACGTATTCACGTTGATCAAAGATAAATGACAAATATCGAGTTCAATCAGATATTTGGAAGCACTCACCAAAATAGTGCCTCTAGTGCTCTTGTTTGGGTGGTACTCCGGGTTTGGAGTCCAAATCTGCGATAAAACTTAACTTGAGAACTTTGAAAATCAACTAAGGTTCGAAACTTAAGCGTTTCGTTCAATAAGAATCAAGAAAGTGAAATTCACTTGAGAAATAGCTGTGAAATAGTTGATCGCTTTTCAAACTGAAAAATTTGATAACATGTTTGCTTGGAGATGACTTTTGAGTCAAAAGTGCAAGTAAAACGGTTTCATAGTGATTCATATCGTTTTCCTAAGAGTACGAGTTCGGCCAAGTCCTAACATATAACCCTTGATAGTTCAAGTGATAATCACTTTTAACCTTTACTCAAGTTGCAAGTATAGTTTTCTAGTTTTCGAGCGTAAATTTGGGCAGCATGCCCTTTGTGTTTACCTAATTTTCCATCCATTTAGGCTTCATTATTTTTCCTCAGCCAATCCCAAAGTCATATATATCATAAATGCAAGTCAATAGCCGTTCCATAGGCTCATAACATCATAAGAATAAGAATCAAAGTAATAACTAGTGCGGAAATACAATCTAGCAAAAGACAGATTTGACGTGTGGTTGCGGAAATAACACATCCGAGGCTACGCTTATCGGATTGAGGCGCAACTTATACCGTTTCGAAGCTAAGACACAGGGATACAATGTTCATGAAGATCACTTAGTCCAGTTTCCAATGCAACCTAGTCAAATCCTCAATTTACAGAACCAAAATCCAACTAGTCGGCTATTTAACCGTACTGTACTGGAATGGTCATATCTCAGGTTACCAAGGTCCGATTAAGGTGTTCTTAGAGGCGTTTAAAAGCTAAGTAAGAATAATAAAACTTTCATGTTTTGGTAAAAAGCTAAATCAGTACGGATCCTAGTGAATAAACGTGATAAACTGGATAAACTGACCAAACGGACTACTGGGAAAAACCTTAAAATAGTGAGGGTATTTTGGTCTTTTCATGGGATACGTTGCTCCGATTGAGCTGAAATTTTTTAGAAACCTATAAAATACCATTCTCTACAACTTTCATGTTTTAGGTCAAGCATAATTTGGCCTCTAACTATGAGTATTAAAATCAGACAGAATGAAATCCTGAAATTCCAGAAATCTGGAATTTTTGAAATCTCAAGTCAATCCTTCCATTTTCTTGCTTCCAATTCTACCAAAGCCCCTTATCTACTATT